GTAAGTTTTATTTTTATAATTAGCTTTAAAGAAGGAGTTAATCTTAAGATAAAATAAGTAAAGGGAAGTTAATAATATATAAAATAAGTTATCTAATAATTAAAGAGTATTACTACTAGTTAAAGAAAAAAGTAGCCTAAAGGCTTATATAATCTTCTTAGATTATTAAGATAATAATAACTTAAAAGGTAACTTAATTATAAATATAGTAAATATTAGAATATATTTAAGAAAGAGATCTTAGACCTTAGATAACCTTTTTAAAAAAGAAGATCTATAAAGTAATTACTAAAAAGTTCTAGTAAAGGATTATTAGGCTAAGAACCCTCTATAAGAGTATTAAGACCTATCTACTACTAATCTAAAGTAATAAGTTATTAATAAGATCTTAAGTAAGAAAATTAGTATAATAGTTATAAAAGTTATATAATATAATCCTTTAATTAGATAACTACTTATATAAAGAGTCTTTAATATAATAAAAAAGATCTATAAAATAAAGATAGTTTTTATAGTACTTACTAATATAAGAAAGCCTAATATACTAATAATTATAATATATTTTATTAAAAAATAAGAAGTTACTAATTAGTCTTAAGAAAATATTATATTAATAATAAATATTAATATAATTATAATTAGGAAAAAGAGCTTAGATAATAAAGATTTTAAATACTTATTTCTAATTTAAAAGAGAAAGTACTTAGTTATTTTAGGTTTTATAGTAAAAGTAATTTCTATATACCTATAACTACTAATTATTAGAGAAGAAGATAAAAAGAGTCTTACCCTTAGTCTTATTTATATTAATATATATATAAACTATATCTTTAATAAAAAGTATATTATAATAATAAGGTAGTCTTTATTATTTATCTATATTAAACTAAATACCTTTAATTAGTTATTAATAAAAGTACTTATAGACTTTAAAGTTAAGGGATATAGTATAAGTTAAGAATTAGCTATTAAATATAAAATTATAATTAAGCCTTATTAAGTTATATTAACCTTTTACTTAAATAAAAAGGTTATTATAATTAGATTTACTTTTTTATAAATATACCTAAGAAATACCTTTATCTAATAAAGAATTTATATTATTAATAAAGTAATATTTACTAACTTTATCTTAAAGATATTATTTATTAGATTTATATATATAATATTTAAATATCCTCTTAATTAAAAGAAAATAGAACTATAAGTATAGTTTAATAATACTAAGGTAATAACCTTAATAGTTAGACTAATTATATAAAAAGTTACTAGTAAACTACTTAATAATAGAAAAACCTAATTTTAAATATAAACCTTAATTATTAATTAAGAGCTTATAAAGTAAGAACTAATATTATAAAAAGAAGTTAAAAAGAGAGATATAATCTTCTAGCTAAGAGAAGAAGATAAGGAGGTTATTAAAGATATCTTATATTATATAATTATAAAAAATTATATTAATAAAGATAAGAAAGTAATTATAGATTTATAAAAGTAACTATATAAGAAGTTAAAAATCTTTATTTTATATAAAAGAAAAAGGGTAAAGGTTAAACTACTAGATATCTCTAATAACTTTATACTAGAAGGTAATCTAAAGTAAAGGGAGAAGAAGTAAAAGCTAGTAAAAGGTAAAGTAAAAGAAGTAAGTAATTATATTAATTTCTTAATAGGTAAATTCTT